TGTGTGTGTGTGTGTGTGTGTGTGTGTGTGTGTGTGTGTGTGTGTGTGTGTGTGTGTGTGTGTGTGTGTGTGTGCATGCGCGTGTGCGTGTGTGAATAAAAGTGAATGAATGTGTGTGATGTTGATGGCATTTCTTTTGATAGTGTGAGTGCATGTCTGTTGCTGTGAATATTAGTGGCAATGGTCACTTTGCCTACATCCAGGTTTGATTTTGGCATTGCTTTTGTTTTGCAAACATTGCCACCACACACACACACACACACACACACACACACACACACACACACACACACGCACGCACACACACGCACACGGACACAGAAATGCACACGCACACACACACACACACACACACACACACACACACACATACACACACACACACACACATACAGATCAGCCTCATTCTGTATGAATAATTTAGCACTTCGATCCAACACTGGCCACAGTGGCACATGACAGTTTGTGTGCATCTATCTGTGGGTTTAAGTGTGTGTGTGTGTGTGCACGTGTGTGAGGATCTCCTTGCATGTGTGCATGTCTATGTTAATAAATGCAGTTAAGGATTTTTTTTCCCCCTTTCATTAAATACCATTGTTTATCATGTCAGTTTAGCTGTCCCTGACGATCGCTGCCGACCCGTCTTTGCGCATGCAAGCTGCTTAATGTTTATTTCATTAGCCTATCTAAGGCCTGTCCTCACAGTATAGGTGATGATATGACATAAACAAAACCTGCTCCATGTTTATTTCATGCCTAAGCACACCTTTTATCACAAGAGGTGTGATCCAATTTTCTCTCAAGGAGTGACAAAGTGTAGCCACAGGCCACAGTGTTTGTTTGCAGGTGGTGTGTGGGTCTCTGTGTTTTGATTCTCAGTATGTGGGGAAAGGGGAGAGTGTTTACATGTGTGCTTATTTCACACAGTGAGCCGTGGTCCTTATCCATGCCCCCCCATGTGTCTTCATGCTGATAGATATATGTCATGCCTATGGAGCTGACAATAGTGCTTAGTGATCTTAACAGCAACTGTAAGCTTGTTTTCTCTTTAGCCTCGGCCATGACATTTACCTCCCTGCGTCCCTGGCGGCAGTCTGGAATATCACACCTCTATTATCTTGCATTCTGGTCTGTGTTTAAGTGTGTGTGTGTTTGCTTGTGTGTATGTGTGTGTGTGTGTGTGTGTGTGTGTGCGTGCGTGCGTGCGTGCGTGCGCGTGCACCTGTGCCTCAAATAGTTTTGAGCATGTATCAGAGAAAACACACCTGTGCTGTGACTTGAAAAGCTGCTGGTAATTTTAAGCGAGCAGGAACGCTTGTTGAACATTGTGTCAGTGTGGGTTTTGAAGAGTGTGTCAGGAAGTAGAGATTTTGACTGGAGGATTAATCTAAACCGCCTCTTATAAGGTATTCAGATCGAAAAGAGGGATTATTGAAAGTCGGGGAGATGAAAGGAAGGAGGAAAGTGAATGCTCATATTGGCTCATAACCCCTCACACCAGGCATGCAGGCACAGAATAGTAAACAGTAACAGCCAGCAATTTTGTAGCATTTGTCTGCCTTGTTAGGATTTATTCTGCATCCATGCTATTTTTCTCAGTGCATGTGGTGAAATACAAGTGTACAGAAAGATATTTTATCACATTCCTTGGGGATATACGTTAAAACCATCCATGTAATTCAACAGGCTTGTATTCCATACATGCTGAATATTTCTCTTCCACAGCTGCTCATAGTAACGAATCGGCTGCTGGTCCCTCGGTGAACAGACAGGAAACCGTACGCCTGTATACCTGTTTGTGTGAAAGAGAGATTTTATTTGGTTAAAGGGGAGCATTGTTATTAGGTTGCCTGTGCTGCACAGCTACCTGTTTGTGTGATGATGATATCATTCAAGTGTTTGTGTGCCTTTCCCTCGTGCAGCTACGTAACCTGAGTGTCCTGGACCTGCGGCACATCTCGGAGCTCAACAATGAGACTGTGATGGAGGTGGTGAGGAAATGTCGCAACCTCAGCTCCCTCAACCTCTGCCTCAACTGGAGCATCAACGACAGGTTTGTCAAGGAAACTTCATTTGTAAAGCCAGGTGCAACAAGCAGTGTGTGTCAATGGGTTTTCTGGCCCGTAACATAACATTCAAGAAAGGTGGGAAAAAATACAAGATTAGAAAAAATATAATTGTAATTTAAATTCAAAAAGAGGTTTATAATCTAACAGCGGTATTATAGTAAATCCACTACTAATGTGTGCCAGTACTGGTCTAATGAATCCCATAAAAGAAGATCAAGGTGTCTGGGGGCTCCCCCTACTCAGTAAATTATTTGACTAATGGCTCATTATGGTGTTAGTTGACAAAGAGCCATTGATTAATAATTTTTTGGATCTTTTTATGAGAAGCTGGCTGTTGGTCATTAATTAAAGGTAATAATCTTGCCCCCGATTTTTCAGCTGAATGAAATTATCGATCAGTTGATGAAATCCTATTGACTGTTAGTCGATTAAGGATTTGAATAGCCACACACGCAAGCCGCACGCACAGACACACTCACATACACATTTGGAGCTGTACCATGTTTGAGATAATTATGCACAAACTGCACAAATGGCAAAGATGAATAGCGTGTGTGACACATCTGACTCAGCCAAGGCCACACAGATGTTTCAGTACTGACATTTACAATATGACATACAGTATGCTGGTATATTGTGCATCCATTCAAGTATTTGAAATGAAAGCAAAAAACAGATATACTGTACTAAAACATACTCCTTATGCAAACCCTGGCACAGGGAAAGATAGACATAAGAATTACAAACACACGTTAAAGGCACAACAAGAGCTCTCTCTCTCTTTTTGTTTCCCTTCTGTCTGTCTCTCTGGTCGTCTTTTTTTCTTTCCACTTTTTTTTCTCAAATGGGAGAGAGCCTGTACAGTATATGATGGGAAGAGTAAACCATCTCCTCTTTTATTTATTATCTTGTGTTTTATTCATCTGGTTTTATTTAATCTATTGATTTAAAGCTAAGGCTGTGGCTTCTCTGTCGACTGTACTCCCACTCTGGCTTAGGAGTGTGAACACAATATTGAATTTACCATGGTGCATAGCAACAGTGGGTGCATGCAAGCTGTGCGTGTGTGTGCATGTGTGTGAAATCATTCTTGCATTATTGAGTTTACAGCAGACATGTGGTTGGAAGGTTATGGTAATACCTCACCCGCCTCCTTTCAATCAAAAAACATGGAGTTTGGTGAAATCCTCACAGGAGCACATGGTGTTATCAACTTCTTCCCTTTATCTTACTCATACACACACAGACACACACAGACACACACACACACACACACACACACACACACACACACACACACACACACACACACACACACACACACACACACACACACAGGCACTGCCTCGATTGATTCAAGGCTGCATTGATTCCATAATGATATTTGCTGCATTGGTTCAGGGGCAGAAGGTGTACGTGTGCCTGACTGGTTTTGTCTGGATCACCTGTGGGAATATTGGAATTTAAAATGGTATATATACGCGTGCGTGCGTGCGTGCACGTGTGTGTGTGTGTGGGAGATAAAGCTAGGATGTTGTGTGTTGACGGCAACATACAGTAGGTGAGTTGTTGGCTTATGAATGAAGCAGAGACAGTAGGAGGGGGAGGGGTGAAAGGCTGAGGTGGACAGTCGTAGTTGAGGAGTCTGACATGCTTGCTGCTCTGATGTTGCCCCCCCCCCCAGCAGAGGAGGAGTTTAAAAACCCAGCAGACGTAATGCAGATATGTTTGTTCTGCCATGTCTCCTGGTCCTGCAGACCTGTGTGTCTGTTTGTGTGTGTGTGTGTGTGTGTGTGTCTGTGTGTTTTGTGTACATGCTGACTGCCGCTCAAGGACTTGGACCAAATAAAAGCCTCCAGTCATAAGCAGCTTTATTGTTACACTTTACAGTCACACAGCTCGGAGTGGGGAAGAGGAGAGTGGGTTTATTTAAATGGAGAAACTGGCTGGGTGGTCGTCACAATGTGAAGAATGTGGACGTGTCTGACTGAGTGAGGGAGAGCGAAGGAGAGTGCCTGGTTTGACACAGATTTAAAGTGTCATTAAAGTCACAGTGAGACAACAGTTGTCTTCAGTAATGTGACATAGTTTTACACTGGAATAGAAAATACAGTAGTTTAGTTAGTTTGTACACATCTGATCACTTAAATGTGGGCGAGGCTTAGCAAATACAATACGGCCTCTAGCTACACCTACTGCTCACCTGTCCTGTGTTATTAGATCAGGTGGTGGGTGATGAGGGGGAAACTTCACAACGTTTCATTTGAAAATTTGAACAAATGAACTGAATCCAAACACAAATTTCATGCTATGATATCACTTCAGTGCAACCATGAGCTAACGGTTTTAAATTATGGGCGGGGTTAGCTCCTGTCCCTAAATCCCATTTGATTGGATAATTTACGTATGTGCTGCTGAGTAGTTCCAGATGAGTCATCAAAAATATTTTCAACTTCAGGATTTTGATAAAAACACTAAAAGAAATTGACATATATGTGGCATTAAACCAGAAATAACTGAAGAAGTTAACACAGGGACACAAATTTAGAACATGGAAAATGTATTTTATTTTATATGTCTTCAGAATCAACAATAGTGTTTTGTGTATTGAAAACCATTTCTGTATTGAAACTGGTTCTAAATGTATCAAACATGTTATATCTTTATTTATGTATGTATATATATTTTTTTACACACACACACACACACACACACACACACACTCATGAGTCTGACAGGCTGTTTAAAAGTGAGATTTTATTGAGGATGTTTTTTTCTTATGGACAGACTGTTGGTGTGTTTCCAAAGAGAGAAAGAAAGGCTGAAACGGTTTATTTGGCTTGGAGTTCAAAGAGTCAAAGGTCATGAGGGTCACTGCTGTCAGGGAAGCCAGTACACACACACACACACACACACACACACACACACACACACACACACACACACACACACACACAGGTTACTGGCTTGTTGTCACAGTGAGGACGAGGAGGGCGAGTGACTCAGCCCTCCCTCACATTAGCTCTCTGAGGGTACAGCTGGGTCAGCTTGTGTGTGTGTGTTTCCAACTGATGACAGTGTGCTGTGAACAGGTAAACAGGCAGAGGAAATGACCCCTTATTTCCAGGATCAATTTGTCCCCCGACAAGGGGCCATTGGAGAGATAGAGCTCTGTGGGAGGTAAAGCATTTTGGTCATTTTTCCTTCGCTTCTTCTCCTTTATTTCTTTCTTCTCGTCTCTTATCTTTAAAAAAAATAAAATAAATAAAATAAACACTGTGTCCTCTGGCTCCCTCCATCTTCCTCAGTAATAGCCAAAAACAGCACCCCGGCGTAAGAATGCGAGAAATGATGACCAAATATGGACTTCCCATCGTCACAGTCCGACGGGCAGATTGTGGCAGTAGGACGCCTATTTTTTGCTCACCGTCATTTCTTGGGGAGAGGGGATGTGATGTGCTGCAGGTGGGTAGTGTTGGCCCTGTTATTTCTCTGTATCCTCTTCCAGCGATGATAGGAGACCAAAGTGGGATTGTGTTTTTCAAATGTCACAGCGTTTGAAAACGGGGAGCGAGTCATGATCAAAGTGAAACGGCGGAGCAAATGGCAGCGCTCACTTTTTAGAACCAAGTTGAGAACACAGTGTCAAAGTTAAATGGTTTTCTTTCATTTTTTGGAGCATGGTCTGTTTTTTTTTCTCTATGCTTTTGTTTGTGTGCATGGTATATTTGTGATTGTTGTTACCATTGTGTGTTCGCTTTTGTTATGTCTCCGTGTGAAGATTCTTTTGAGACTGTGTTGGTTTTATAATATCATTTGTATAATTACTTGTTTTTTTAAATCATATTGTACTTTCCTGCCAGGAGTACTTAGATTAAACATGGACTTCATGGGAATCTCATGCTTTTGGACACACAACTTTCTATTTGTGCGTTGTGTGTTGCAATAAAGTTTGCTGTGAAGCCTCCTCAGTGGTTTTGGTCAAAGCAAAGAGTTAGAAACTATTCTGCTAACGTTAACCCTGCTGCTGGACACAAGGCCTGTGTTGACATGTAGATTTATGTGTGTCCTCCTCTGTCTGTTTCTGTGTGTGTGTGTGTGCGTGTGTGTGTGTGTGTGTTGTGGTCATTTGGCATGTAGTCTTTGCTGAAAGCAGATGCATGGACTAAATGAGTCATTTCTTTTATGAGATCTGTATTGTTGGAAGTTGGGCATTTCCCAGAATCCCTGTTGTTCTTTCCCTCTCATTCTCTCTCTTTCTTCATCTCTCACTTTTTCCGACAGCTTCATTTAAACAGGGTGATCAATATCCGTCTCTTTTTTTCCTTATTTGCCTTTTTCTTCAGGCCAACATCCTCTTCATATCTCCATCACTTATGAGCATCACAAATCACAGCTCAAATGGGCTCTTCTGCATTTTTGTCCCCTCTCACAAAAATCAGACTAGATGAGGGGTGACCGGGGGCCGTCTCTGACTTTCAGGAGCTTATAAAGCAGGAAGTAATTGAAGAAGCATTCTCCCAGAAACACACCTTCTCTAAAACTGTAAGGCTTTGTGGATTTAGAGGCGTTTGCAATGGAAACTCATAGCAAATAGCCTCTGTTGCAGCCAGCTGGCAGATCTCACAGTGCCTGGAGAAGTGTTAAACCCCAGAATTGAATGAGTATATGATGCATCAGTGTGATCACTGACGTGTCAAATGAGACTTGGTTGCTCTCCTTTGCTTGGTCACAGTGAAGGTGACCAGGGACTGTGTTTGTCAAAGTTCTGTAAGTTACACTTAAGGCACAGTTTAAAAGGCCAACTTAGAAATAAAAAAGTTTTTTGCTAAAAGTGAAGACTTAGTTACATTAACCAAGTGATTTGCTCCTACTTACAGCAATGTCAATATCATGTGATTACATGTATGTTCAGAAAGGTGTTGAGAATTTATTGTATCTCCATTATTCATTCTCTTAAATCTCCACACTGAGATGTTATTCT